CACTACCACTACCGAACCACCCACCGCACCCTTATCTCCCACTCCATCTGCTGAAACCGAAACCTTTTTGGGAGGGGAAGATACGGTTTTTGATTCCATCTACTACAGCCCCTACCAACTTCAAAGTGATGATGATGATGATGCTCCAGTTACTAAAAAGCACATCAAGGAACTCCGCGAGAAGATTGACAACTTGTGGCTTCTTCCTCTTCCTTAACATCTCACTTTTCGGAGGCTGCCATTCAGGGGATGGTGGAATCTCTCTCCAAAGCACACAAAGCCTCCATCAGCTCAGCTACTGCTGCTATTGATAAATCCACGAAGGCTAGTGCTGTAGCTACCGAAAAAGTCGAAAAACTATTTCAAGACGCCTAGATCTGGCTGGAGTCTTTGCAGGCGGAATCAGAAACAAACACTAAGAAGATTCGCACCGTTGTGGAGAAGCTGGTCCACTCCTTCGAAACCGAAAAAGACCAATTTGCTAGCTTCCGCCAGAAACTCAAAGAAGACAATCAATCTTTTTAGTCTTCGGTTGCGGATCGTCTTCTTTCCTTTCAAGCCACTCTTGCCGCCGAATCCACCACAAAGGAAGAGCTTGCTCGAAAGTCTTCTGAGCTTACTTTGGCAACTCATCAGCTCTCCCAAGCCGAGAAGGAGATCGATTCTCTTCGGTCTGAGAAAGCTGTGGTCAGGAGTTGTGTTTCAGATGTCCACGGAGCTTTGTCTAATATTATCGAAGCCCATGATCTGATTCTTAACTATTCGGTGAGGTGTAGTCTTGCAGAGAAGCTCACTGCTGCTCTTGCCCTGCTTAGCCGTATTCAAGGCATTCCTGAGCAGGAGGACCATCCGAAACAAGGGGGGAAAAGAAGCCCACAACTCAATCGAAACCCCCTCCAAGTTCCAAAGCTCAATCACTTCCATTTTCATCACTTGTCCCTCCGAAAGCACCCAAACCAAAACCTGTTCCTTCATCAGGTTTGAGTGCTCAAACCAAAGCCAAACAAATTGTTGACGACAGTGATGAAAGTGATGATCAAGAACCGATTGTCAGCTTAGCCAGGAAACAGACCAGAGAGAGAGAGCTGGATGAAAACGCTCGCATCGTCAGGGAAGCCGAGGGCAAGGAGAGGAAGATAAAGGAGGCTCATGATCTCCTTGAAAGCAGGAAAGCTTTATTTCCTCCTTGGACTCTCGAAGTGCTTATCAAAGAAGCCATTGAGTCCCCCTGCACTCTTTGGTTAGAACCGGTCATCTCCTTAGACAGTGTCAATTCGGTCAATTCCCAGTTCGACATGCCCCTGACCCGAAAAGCCTTTATCTTCCACGCATTCGCTCATATAGCTGAAGTTCCCCATCCTCACCCGAAGGTGGATAGGGAGCTTATAGACTATTATCCAGGGGTGAGCATGGTGCGGTTTGGTGCGGTTTTAAGACCAAACCGAACCGCAAACCGCATGGTGTGGTTTTTGCATTTTTAAAACCGTTGGGTGCGGTTTTGCAATGGTTCGGTTTTTCGGTTTTTAAATGCGGTTTCGGTTTGTATCGGTGCGGTTTCGGTTTTAAACCGTGTTTAGAATTTGGTGCAGTTTTTTATGTTGTTTGGTGCAGTTTTTTAAAACCGTAAGAATTGAAAACCATTTGCATGTAAGCTTGTATTGTGCTGTTTTTTTTAACCATTCATTTTCAATTCAAAACAAAAATACATAATCAAAAACTGTAAGTCGCTTAAAATACAACATGTGATTACTCTCACAAACTAATTAATAATTGAAAGTTGGTTGATTTTGACTTAATTTGTTACAAGTTTATTTCATGTAATCGATTAGTACGTTTCACTAACAATAGAACATTTCTTTTGCACCCCATATAGTCTTACACAAACATAAAATAAACAAATAATAAATATATTATCAACATTGATTGATTTATTAATATACATGCTTACGGTGCGGTTCGGTTTTCGTGGACCGGTTTTTTGGATAGAAACCGCACCGCACCGTTGACCTTCGGTTTTTGCAAAAATTAAATCCGCACCATTGGTTTTTGCATCGGTTTCGGTTTTTCGGTTGCGGTTTATTGCGGTTTATCGGTTTTTCTTTAGTCGGTTTGGTTTTTGCTCACCCCAGCCTACTATTATATGAGGACCGCTCAACCTCAGTACCAGACATGGAGCGCACAGAAGATAACCAACGTTCGGGTTCTCAAACCTGTTCGTGAAGGCAATTTCGTTAATGTTAGATTCAAGGTCGTGAGGGGATCTGACAAATCCGAGCATTCCATCTCTCTGGCTGATCTTCCCAACCTAAACCCTCATGATTGGATTGTCTTGCACAACATTCTTCTTGTCAATGAAGCAGAATATGGTCCGATCATAGACCATTTCAAGAGAATGTTAGTTTGCTATATTTTGGAGGTGGCTAAGCTTGATCAAGAGGTTGCTAATGTTCTGAGGAAGAAGCCCATCATCACTCCAGTCGGTTCTGCAAGCGATATAAACCGAATGAAGATGGGAAAGATTGATCCGAAACAGAACTCAGTCATGTTCACCAGGGCATAAGGTCAGAAATGCCTATTTGCTTTGGCTGACAAACATTTTTACACCACTACCTGTTTGGAGCATGTTCTGGGTATCATCAATCGGTGCAAGTAGAACTCGGATAGTGATAAAAAGTACTTCAATGATATGATAAATTGGTACATTCACTTCCGACAAACACTTCTTGCTATCATCCCCTGCCTGTTCAAGACCGTAAAGAAAGCCAGTGTCGCGGGGGTAAGCAAGCTGGAGTGAGGTCTCGCCCCAATTGACGCAAAGGGGGAGATTGTTGGGTACTTGATGTTGCGTCTTGGGCTCGCTTCCTAGCCCATCTTGTATACGGCATGGGCCTGTCCATCCGTATCTTATTTTACTAGGGTTTGTGTATTAATAGATGTTTCCATGCATCTTTTTGAGAACTGATAGATCGTTGGTTTTTTACGTGTAACAAAGAAGATCTCTTTTGTAACCCTAGAATCCTCTACAGCGGAAGTTCTTTATCGAGCTCTGCTGAGGATTGAACGTTCTAATCATTCAACACATTCAAATCCATTCTTGAGTATTGTTTCATTGTTTTACTTTCATTATCTACATGTTGCAAAGATCTAATCGATCAAAGAGTTTTTATATCTCATCAAACCCGCTTGGACAATCAATTACCTTCCAGTTAACTATTATAGGGATAGTTAGGAGATACAAAACATTATTCCTATTACAAGGAATTACACCAGAGTCAGTTCATTCATGAGTCTATACTATACATTACATGTTACATGAATACGTCTACATCGATACGCTTACATGAATACATTTAAATATATACATTTATTTGTATACACGTACATGAATACTTGTACTCAAATTCAGTAGGATGAGTTACTAGTACATTATGTGTAATTTGTTCTGCCTATCCTAGTTCAAAAGGATAACTTGACGGGACTAACCATTCCGAAACCCACCTGTTAGCAACAGAGGTAATGAACATCTACGGATGCCTACAGTTAATACTTATATTAGGAGTACCTTTACGGGACTAACCATTCCTTAAACCTATTGTTAGCTACAGAGGAAAATGAACAATCTTCGAATGTTCTAGGTTATACATTTCGGCAGTCGCGATGTTGCATTATCCTAATACAAAAGGATAATACTTTTATGGTTATAATTTTCCTATTACTTTTATTTTGTGTCACAATCACATAAACAAGGAGGTAGACTATACATTGTTAATAGTAGTCATAAAAGGAAAAACCATCTTTGTTACAGCAAAACATACAGGTCTTGGTAGAAGACTACTTTCAAAACATTCGGGTCTTGGTAGAAGACTTCTCTTATACTGATAGGAAATATGGGATTTTCTAGGGTTTTCATACTTATATTAATTGTTTCATTCAAAGATTTACATGGCACTCATAACAGCTTTCCAAAACAAAACAATGACACTTAAATACTTATGAATTCACCAGCTTTATGTTGATACTCGCCTTCAAAATAAGTTGTATTCTCAGGTCACCCGTAGATAGGTATGATGGCCAGGTTTTGAGGAGACGGAGCACAGACAAGACTCGTCTTTTATTTTGATTTCATATTTTGGTGTCTTATTACTTTTAAAGAACACATATGTATTAAATATTTACTTTTAATGCAATGGATGATGTTGTTGTTTGTTTACTACTTTGCATTTGTTGTGATACTGTACATGACGTCCTCCACCCCTGAACGTTTCTGCCGTTCTTGGTTTTGGGGTGTGACATTATATCGCTATGAACTCTTTACTTATAGTTTACTTGTGGCCTTTATATGAAAATTTGCACCAATCTCTTTTCTTGGTTGGTAAAAAAAACAATCATATTTTAGCAGGTAAGAAAAGGAAACTATAAGTACCAGAAGATGGGAACAAACTCTGCTTCTAGTTACTTTCATGGTATGTGCTTCAAGGAAACCCAAACACTATGTGACATTTATTTATATACAATAGTTTCATAATATTTTCATTGAAAATCTCAATCCTATTTTTGCATATATTTTTTCACAAGTCATTCTTAATTTTCCATACTTGAGTCCAACATCTACCAACAACATAATTTAGGTTAAGTTACTCATTATCCCATTAACACTATTGATAAACCCATATAATGATGCCAAAAATTTTGAAATATTAAAATCGACGTCCTCAACCAACAAACTTAGATCAATGAGTAGCTTGTTATTTGATTCATGCGTTTTCTCCTTCTTGAACATCTTCGTAGCAACCATGTTCTTCTTTAGTATATTTTTCATATGATCAAAAAATTTCCCCTGGTTTAGATCTTCATCACCATTCAACCTAAGAATTAATTAATGGGGTATTAGAACATTCACGTGATTATGAAGAATACATCCAAAAATCATGAATTAAAAAGCCATTAATAGGTAATCAAGAAACATGAATATAGAATTTACCTTTAGTATTTACTTCACATTAATCAGAGTCTTGTTTCAATTCCTGCATAAAGTACATAAATATAAAGTTGAAAATATAGGTTGTGGGTTCTAACAATAACAAAAAAACTTACATGAAATTTCCAAAAGTAATTTAAGAATTATTAAAACAAGAAAGATCTAGTTTACCTCTTGTTTGATCTTTATAAGAGAGTTGATGTCTTCCCCTACATAAAACGAGCTGAATTTTGTTTCAATTTCTTTTAGCTGTGGAGTAGCGGAATTTCCCTTGGTGAAAGTGGTTATTGCTGGGCATTGATTGATTTTCAAAGTATCTAATAATGGGAATGAAAAATCCTCCTTCCCCAAGCTAAACCCCTTAAGACATGGAAGGTATTGTAATTTTAAGGACTTTAGACGAGGTAACACAAGTATCTCCTTATTCGTCTTGTCATCTGATTCTTCTTCTGATTCTACAGCAATGACCTCCTCCATCTGACTGCAGTCCCTTATACGTAGCTCTTGGAGTTGCAATAGACTACCAACCATGGAACTAGTAAATACATGTTCTAACCTCTCACATGCATAAACATGGACTGTTGTTAGGTTTGGAAACTCAAATTCTGTCCCCAAGCTAAACCCCTCAAGACTTTGAAGTTGGTCTAATATCAAGGACTTTAGACGAGGTAACACAAGTATCTCCTTCTTCGTCTTGCCATCAGATTCTTTCTCTTTGTCTTCTTCTACAGAAACATCTGCATCCTGAACAATCACGACCTCTATCTGACTGCAGTTCCATATGCGTAGCTCTTGGAGTTGCAATAGACTACCAACCATGGAACTAGTAAATACATGTTCTAACCTTTTACATTTATAGATATCAACTCTTGTTAGGTTTGGAAACTCAAATGCTGTCCACTGATTGCTCTTCCATATATACCTCAGAGTATATAGATGTTGTAACTTCATTTCTCTGAGGTTTGGAAGATTAACAAGAGTAGTAGTAGTAGTAGTTTGTGGCGATCCATCAAAACCACTTCCACTACTACTATTTGTATTCGTATTCGTATTTCTCCCTGCTGCTTCCAATCCAGTTTCAAATACCTCCTCTACATTATTACAGTTGTATGCAAGAATCTTTTCCAGCTTTTGCAGTTGCAGCAACCCACTGGATGGAATAATCTTTTTAACATCATGATTACCTTTCACATCTAATTCGATCAAGTTATGAAAAGACCAAGGTATTGCTTCTGAAGTAGCAGGGCACAAGACTGCAGCTTGTAAACTCAGTAATGGGGTCTGCAGGTCCAATAAAGAAAACGACAGAGGCATATATATGTCAAACAAAAACATTTGAAATGGTGTATGTATGTTGTACTAAATTTAATGAAATACAAGAGATTTATAATTGTTAATCACAATGCATGGTACTTATAACTCCAACTAGAAGTATCCAATTAATGGGTTACTATTTTTGATCTCATAAAGTAGGTTATTTTTTAGCTTTTTCCCTTGTTGAAAATGGAAAAGTTTGATTCAAGTGACAACATGCTATGAAAATAACAATCAAAAGAAGTAACAGATGAGCCAATAACTCACTTAGAACCATGAAGAACAACAATCAAATGGAGTAACAGGGAAAGATTTCATGGAAAATCAAAAGATTAAAAGGGTTTCTAGTTGTTTGAGAGGTTAGACTCTCCTAGGCTAAGGAAATTGATAAAGAAACAAGCAAATTAAGAATAATCATGCTCTTCCAGGTACTAAAATGCCTGTAATAACAACTTTTGACAGAAAATACCTAAAATACCCTTTCCCATTTTATGTGAACTTTAACGGAATGGGGGTCTAGCACAACATGAACTTCTACTGAATCTAGTGTTATGTATTTTACTTGACATGATCACTTTCTTAATTAGATGATACCAATTAAAGAAATATATACCTGATGAAAGTTAAGGCCAGATTCTCCAACAATATGTTTGCCTAATTCTGTGTGTATATACTTGAGTTGGGGAGCCATTGACCCACCAGCTGCAAACACCAGCATTTGAGGGCAATTATCGATCTTAACATAATCCAATGAAGGCCACCGGAACTCGTTCTTCCCCAAGAAGAAACCCTCCAGCTCTGGTAGATTGATTAGTTTAATGGACTTGAGATGAGGAAAGACCACAACCTTCTTAGAAGATGATGATGATGATGCATCTTCTTCTTCCTTCTTCACAATCACTTTCACTCCGTAGCAAAAACTTATCCTTATCTCTTCTAGCTGTCTTAGGCTTTCAAGTGCAGATAATGTGAATATATGTTTCAAACCCCCACAATCTCTGATTTTCAATATCTTTAGATTGGGAAGCATAATAATATTGTTATTTACTCTTGGAATTCCTTCATCACCTGCACCACTCTTGTTGTTGCATTGAGTTTCAAATACCTCCTTCATCCCTTTGCAATCACTTACTGTCAGCACTTGAAGCTTTTGCATTTGTCCTGCTGCATAACATGGAATCACACTTGACAATACATCACACTTATATATCTCTATCTCTCTAGCGTATTGGCATAAGCTCCAAGAAACACCACCTGCTTCAGACAACTGCAGTGCAACAACAGATGGAAAATTAATGTAAAATTAAACTATAATTACAGCTTTGGAATAATTAGGAAAGTTAATTCAAAATCTATTTTTTTTTTATTATACTAAATGACACGAGTGCTCTCCACATCAAAAATGTAGTTTTTTTTTTTTTTTTTTTTTTTTTAATTTTTTTTTTAAAATTAATGTCAGAATTTATTTAAGAGACAATAAAAGACATACCACTTTACAACCTAAAATATAGGAATGCAAACTCAATGAAATCAAGAAAGCATATGTTTCACAGTACTGCAAGCTTAGAAAAATTAGTTTTGAATAGTATTATAATTTGTTGAATATTATCCTACAATACCTGTCTGTCGCCCGATGGCCCCTAATATCTAAACTAAGTTACATTCAACTAAATACTTACTGCCATTTGTTTTGTTTCTTACCGTTTAGATTAGAGCACATATCTTGGTTTTATTTATGGGGTTAACAAGTTATGTGTTATAACATATATAAATGACCCTCAATTTTTAATGACTAACATTTTGTCATAAGAGCTGTAACTATTAAATTGGTCATAACGTGATAATTAAATGATATTTCATAATGTGATGAATTGGTCATAATATGATAATGACCTATCCATTGCTGGAGAACATCAGTAGCAAAATTGTCACAAGATGATTTTAGTACATGTATGATCTGCATCTTTGTGGTTTGTAATGGTTAGCTTATTTACTTTGTGAAATTTATATTTAAAACTTAGAAACTTTCCTGGGAACTGCTGGAACCAGTACGTACCATTGCTCACCCCTAGTTTTTGTTGAAAAATAAATTTGATTGTTTAATGAATATATATATATATATATATATATATATATATATATATATATATATATATATATATATATATATATATATATATATATAATGTGTCATGACATTTATCCTTTAGGTAACTATTATCTTAGTATAGTATGTATAAAATGCATTATTATGCATTTTAAGACTTGAAAATATAACTGGTTGGAATTACAACTATAAAAGGAAATATTATCCAAAATAAACACTATTATGAAAATGGAAAAATAATCTCAGATGCTTGGTTACATAAACAATAGAGGATTTCACATAGAATGGAAAACCTAATTAGATGTGTGTGCATTTTCTAATTAGAAAACATAAAAAACAAAACTTATAAGTAAATGATATGAATTATGATAAATAACAGATACAAGGTAATACATGTTAACAAAGAAATTAAATAAATACTTGAATATGTACAAACATACCTGAAATTGATCGGTAGTTGTAGTGGTATTGTTGAAAGATAATTCATTGTTCCCATCCTTGGCCTTGGCACCACCTCCACCAATACACTTCAGATTGTCCAGGCTAGATAGATAGAGAGAATCAAGTTGAGGGAACAAAGTGGTGGTTGCGTGGGTAGATGTAGTCATTTCTTCATCCTCATCATCTCTGTTTGAAACAACTTCTTCAATACCATCACACCCACTTATCTTGACATTCTTTAGGTTGGAAAGAAGTTCTGCCATGAGAGGTGAAAACAAGTACTTAATGCTTCTGCAGCTGAACATGTGTATGGTTGTGAGGTTGTGGAATGGGGATTCTGATTGTTGTTTTGGAAGAGTGAAGAATTTATTCCAGTTGCTGCACTTCCATACATGACTCATGTTGTCCATAGAAACTAGATGCAATTCCTGGAGGTTGGGAAGTATAACAGGCTGTTGTTGGTTATGGTGAGTTGATACCAAATCTCTACTTGTTCGACTCTCTATCTCAAACACCACCTCCACTCCTTCATAACTCCACAATCTAAGCCTACGGAGGTTATGAAAAGAGTGTATGAGAGAGGATGGAAATACGACATCATTAAAAATATTAGTATTAGTGACTTCTTGTAATGTCTCTTCCTGAATATAACTCTGCACACATATATCCCAACAAGAAATGTAATTAGTAATGTGAGTACTGAATTGTTTTAATGATTTATAATTCCACATCCATTCACATTTCTATCTTATAATTTTGGATTTGAAGAAGATTATTTTGATTTTATATAATTTTTCCAAGGAACATTTACCAATTTAAAATAGTTGGATCTATCACCTTCACATAAATTATAAAAAGATACTATGGGCTCCTATGCAAAAATAAAAGACAGGTTAATTAAGATGTGGAGGGTATTTTGAAAACAAGAGTGCTGCATATGAAGTTGAATTAGAGAAAATGGTTGACAAGACGGTGGAGTGATGGTTGGTGATGTGCCTTTATAATTAAAAGTTATTTATAAAATTAATAAAATAATAGAAAAGAAAAAGTAGGATATGATAGTCATTAGTTCAAAGGTCTTTTGGTAACAACAAATAGGACCACACGTGATGCATTTTGGAATCACAAAAAGAACTCGTATCAAGTTTTTAAAACTTGGATTAAAACTGCATGAAAGTGAAAACCACATGGACCAAAACTATAATTTTGGTTTAAAATTTATAAATATAAGGTAAATTAGTAAGTATTAAGACATAAGAATATGCCTTGTTAAATTCAATGACCTACTCCATTATACAACCTTGTACTATGGGCATTTTTTGTAATTAATATCCTCCGTAGAAAAATGTTAATCACAAAATATTTATAGTTCGATGAAAACAATGCCATGAAGATCATTACACCAATGCAATATCATTGGTTTTTTAATTATACCACATCATTTTTGCATTTGCAATATCAAAACATGCACACATGTGTGCACATACTCTTGTCGTAAATATATATATATTTTTTTCATTACATTTAAAAGGAAATTTATTTGCTAACGGTTTTAAACTTGTTTTAACTTTTCTTGTTATTATTGTTATTTTGTTATAAGATATATTTTATATATTGTTTCTTCTGTCTATTGTCTTTAATCCCTTTATGGTGTTTCTTTGTGTATTTTTATTACTTTTACTTTCCCTTTTTTTAAATCATAATATTTTTAGATTATAAGACTTAACCATCATAATCATTTTGAATCATAATTTACAATATTATTTTTTTAAAAACTTGCAAACTTGTAAAATAGTATAAAAAACTTTTATATAAAAAACCTTTAAAAGAATTTTAAATTTATATTATTTATAAAAACTTATATTTTTTTTAAAGTGACATTTGAACAACAATAATTTTTAAAAGTTCTTTTTGTGAACTCACTAAAATTGCAAAATGTATAACTTTACTTTGAATTTGGAGATAAAAAAGTTTTTTGTTTACATTTTATAAAAACTAATATTTTTAAGCTGAAGTGTGAACACTTAAACATTTTTTAAAATTGTTTTTTTCTTTTTGCAAACTTAGTAGTATAAAGAATAGATTTAGATTTTTCGGATATTTTGATATTTTTTAGAGAATTTCTATAAATGAAAAGTATTTTGAATTCTTTTTTCATGATTATGCTCATTTATTAGAGAATAAAGTTCTAATAACTTTATTTTTATTTATTTATTTTTTTTTACTTTTTTTATAAATAAAGATAAGATATTTCCAAAAAGGAAGTGAGAGGAAAAGAAATATAAAACATCAGCCAACCAACCAAATACTGATAAATGGCAACGAGAGTAAGGAGAGAAGGGAGGCAACTAATCAAATACTAATAAATGGCAATGATAGTAAGGAGAGAAGGAAATCGCGTTTATTATCTGACTAGTTGTGAAACCCGTATATTATACGGGATAATTAAAACATAATGTTAAACATGAGCGATTAAATGAAAAGTTTATTTGAATTTGAAATATGAAATTAGTGACAATTATGAAAAAAAACATGCAAAAAATAAATTTATTAAAAATAATGTGTTTAATTGTTAGACCCGTGTACTAAACGATTTATTATAATAAAATGTTAAATACAAATGTTTAAAGTGTAAATTTATTTGAAATTGAAATTAAATTGAAATTTGAAATTTGAAATTTGAAATTAATAGTTATTATAGTAGGTTTAGTTTATGGAAACTAAATTAATGATATAGTGGAAATGAATAATGAAGTAATTGACAAGTGGAAAATAAATATATTTCAAAATCATGACAAAATGACATGTGGCCAAATAAATAAGAGAATGACAAGTGGCAATAACATTTTCATTTATTAGGGTAGATTTTTTGATTTTTTTTTCTCTATATTTCCCTTTCAAACATTCACACTTCACTACAAATTCTTTAAATCTCGCAAATAATTACCAATTATATTATCTCATGACATTTTGAGGATAAGTTAAGTTAAATTTTGGCCTCTAATATTTTCAATCCTATGGTCGGGATTTGTACTCATGTTGCTTACCGTTTTTAAGTTCTAAATCAATCATATATATATATATATATATATATATATATATATATATATATATATATATATATATATATATATATATATATATATATAGAGAGAGAGAGAGAGAGAGGTTCAGGTTAATTTGAGATCATTCTAATTTTGTGAGACCGTGAGACCAAAATAATTTTAAAATACAAAAAAAAAAATTAATATTATTTTCGGAACTTGAATTAACTAAAATAAATAAATAAATAAATAATAAAAAAATCCTGTTTTTTTTTTTTTTAAATACGTGAAATATTCTAATAGAATATTACACTGACATATTCTAAAAAATAATTTTAAAATGCAAAATAAATAGAAAAATCTAAAAATTCTTTTTTTAAATATTATTTTCGGAACTTGAATTAATTTAAAAAAATAAAAAAAATCTCTTTTTTTTAAAATACGTGAAATATTGTAATAGAATATTATACTGTACATATTCTAAAAAATAATTTTAAAATGTAATAAAAATGAAAAAATCAAAAAATTCTTTTTTTAAATATTATTTTTGGAACTTGAATTAACTAAAAAATAATAAAAAAAATGCATCTCACGGTCTCACAAAATTAGGTCGTCTCACATGAACCTAACCCTATATATATATATATATATATATATATATATATATATATATATATATATATATATATATATATATAGTAGTGTTAGATTTTACAAAGTTTTTTGTAGTAGAAACGAATGCCTCTAGGGTGGATGGATTGGGCATCGTGCTAACATAAGATAATCATCTTATCGTTTTTTATAGACAAGTATTATTAGGGGTGTAAAATAGACTCAAGTGTGTGTGTGTGTGTGTGTGTGTGTGTGTGTGTGTGTGTGTGTGTATATATATATATATATATATATATATATATATATATATATGAGAAGGAACTAATCGTTATTGTGTTATCAGTTAAAAAATAAGACAACTATTTGACGGGTCATCAGTTCCTTTTTCGCACCAAGCAATAGAGCCTCAAGTATTTGATGGAGCAACGAAAGGTGGGACTGGAGTACCAAAAATGGATGTACAAATTATTGAGATTTGATTTCAAAATCCAATATCAGCCCAGGATAATGAATCAAATTGTAGATGCTCTGTCCTATGAATTCACTACCAATTCAGAACTATGCACCGTTATGTCATCATGGTTAATACTAATTGAACAGTTGCAAAAGGAAATAGAAGTGTATCCCTTCATTCAATCGGGTGTTGTACAAAGGAAGGATGGTAATCCCTAAAACTCCACCTTGACCCTATTGAACGTACAACACCTCAAAGCATTAGAAGACCTGGTCCACTTTTATTATTTTATGTTTTTCTTTATTCTCTGTTAAGTTATTTCCTTAGTCAAAACTGTTTAGAAGTTATTTTCAGTTTCCTAGCTTGTTGATCCACGTTCCTTGTAGTGTCTATAAGGCGTGTGATAATTTCCTTTTGTATTCAAGTCTTTAGAGAATAATACACATCAGTTGTGTGTAACCAAAACTTCCTCTGTATTTTGCTTTGCCTAATCTGCTGTGTGTAAGTGTGTGTGTGTCTAATAGGCCCAAGGTTAACAATCTGGTATCAGAGCTTCCAGGTTCATGGCGGAATTACAGGAGGCCGGTGGTGTCAAGAAACTTAATCATCACAATTACAACACATGGTCTACTTGCATAATGTCCTACATGCAAGGTCAAGATCTGTGGGAAGTTGTGAAGGGATCAGAGACGAAACAACCTGAGGCTGAAGACAACAATGGTGTTCTACGTAAGTGGAAGATCAAGGCAGGAAAAGCTCTATTTGTGTTGAAGACAACAGTAGAAGAGGAAGTTCTAGAGCACATAAAGGACGCTGCAACACCGAATGAAGCCTGGGAAACTTTGCTTAGTTTGTTCTCTAAGAAGAACAACACAAAACTCCAAATGCTTGAGAATGATCTTTTGTCTGTATCACAAAAGGATTTATCAATTTCTCAATATTTTCATAAGGTGAAAACTACGTGCAGGGAAATTAGAGAATTAGATCCTGAAGCTCCGATTGGTGAATCTCGAATGAAAAGAATCATCATTCATGGCTTAAAACCTGAATTCAGGAGTTTTGTGGCAGCGATCCAAGGGTGGCCGACTCAACCGTCCTTAGTAGAGTTTGAAAACTTGTTGACTGCTCAAGAAACCCTAGCCAAGCAGTTAGGGGGAGGTGTTGAGAAGACCACAGAAGAAGCATTGTATGCTGATAGAAGTCGAAACAAGTATAAGGGAGGTTCAAATCCAAATGTCAAACGTAATGAAGATAAGAATAAAGGGTCTGAATCTAGAAGCAAGAATTGTGATCATGATAAAAGAGATAAGCATAAGGGGCGTTATCACAACAAACGATCTTCTTTCAAGTGCTATAATTGTGGAGAGAAGGGTCATATAGCCAGAAACTGTCCTGCAAGGTCTAATGAAGAAGGGAATGTAGCGGCTACTCAAGAAGAAGATGCATGGGATGTAGAAGCTCTAGTAGCCCACGTAGATGAGGCCAAAGCATACACAGCAACTACTGAAGGTGAACAAAATAAAATGGATGAATGGATCGTTGACTCGG